TACTACTGTTTCATGAGAAACTATTTGTTCTGTAAGCCTTCACCTGAAGTACAATTAAAAAAAAAAAAGAAAGATAGAAATAGCAACTTAATAGTGATGTAAAGGCCATAGAGCACAAATGGTTAAGTACTTGACTACTAGCTGAAAGGTTGACTGTTGAATCCACCCAGAGGTGCCTCAGAAGACAGGCCTGGGGATCTCCTTTTGAAAGGTCACAATCTTAAAAACTCTATGGAGCAGTTCTACTTTGCACACATGGAGTCACCAGGAGTCATAATCAACTCGACTGTAACTAACAACAACAACAGAGGCCATAAACAAACAAACAAATAAACAGAAAACAGAAAACCCACTGCCATTGAGTTGATTCCAACTCACAGTAACCCTGTAGGACAGAGTAGAAGCATCTCCATAGGGTTTCCAAGGCTGAAAATCTTTACGGACTCAGACTGCCACGTCTTTCTCCCTCGGAACAGCTGGTGGGTTCAAACCACCAGTCTTTCAGTTAGCAGCTGAATGCTTTAACCATTGTGCCACCAGGACACCTCTTTCACATCTCTGAATATTCAGAAAGTTAGTCAAGCAATGAGTGACAAGAACCTCTTGATTGCCACTTATGAACTTACTAAAGGTGGGCCACTGACCTAGGGGGTACTGCTTATTTATGGAGCTGTTACTATGCTTCAGGGATCAAATGTCTTATTCTTCATGTTTGATGTTCCCAATAAGCATGTAGTGTCATTCCCACAGACCTCAGATAAGGTCAAAATCTTGTCTGTTTGGGAAACAGTGGCATCTTTAAGCAGTGACTGATGTTGCAAGGCTTTCTTCTTATCTGACCATTACCAAGCTTAAAAAACATTGTTATCTGCCAATTTTTATAGTTTTTGCTACATAACAAAATGACTGCTTCTTACATCATATTTCTTCTTACATTCCTGTAAGTGTAATTAGTAGATCTTCTTGCACAAATGCAAATACCATTAAAAGTTGAAAAAATTAATAGAAATTAGTGTATGAAGTCTTGTCAGTATACTTTATTCTGTTTCCTTTTTTTTCTATTTATTTTTGTGTCCTTTCACGTTTTCTAAAATAGATCTCTTTTTGCATTTACTTCATAGGTATGCATTAAAATCATCTTTTTGAATTTAATTATCTAATAAAATATAGCAGAATTATGAAATAATGCATATTTATATGTCTGTTGAAAAACGTATGTAAAGCATCGATAACTAGAAACAAGTGTGTTGTGTGGGACAATAAAGGTGGGGTTTGCCCACCTTGCCCTCGCTTAGTGCCGTTTGCACAGTGTCGAAGAATAAGATTTTTCGTAAAAGTGAAGTCTAAGTTATGTGTTATTCTAGCTTAAGACTAACTTTTTTTTAACATTTCAGTGATTTTTTTTTGCTGTTTCTTAAAACTTTTAATTTAATTTTATATTTGTTGTTGCTGAAAATATACACAGCGAAACATACACCAATTCAACAATTTTTACATGTACAATTCAGTGACATTGATTACATTCTTCCAGTTGTGCAACCATTCTCACCCTCCTTTTCTGAGTATTTGCTCCCCCATTAACATAAACTCACTGCCCACTAAGTTCCCTATCTAACCTTTCAAGTTATTGTTGTCACTTTGATTCCATATAGATAGTTCTTTTAAAAAGCACAATGCTCAGGGCAGACGTTCTTTACTAGGTAAGCTAAACAATTGTTTGGTTTAAACAAGACTTCAGGGGATATTTTTGATTTAAGGTTTAAAGATTATCTCAGGGCAATAGTTTTGGGGGTTCATCCAGCTTCAATGGCTCCAGAAATTTAGTGATTTCACTTTATTTAAATTTCATCTTGTAACTAAAATTAGCAAAGAGAAGCTGGTGCTGCAGTTCAGTCTTTCATTGGTAGAGGGTTTTAGTAGCATGTAATTTCTTCACATATTTGACTCTCTGCCTGCAGTATTTAACACAGTAGCTTTTATTGTACTTTTCTATTTCACTATGTATTGCCATTATATCATCAACTTTTCTGTATTGTCTACATTTTTGCTTTCTGTTCTATTAAAAAAATGCTATAGGATAGAGAAAGATACAAAGAGTGGAAGAGTTAAGAAAAAAGTTACTTGACTAAAACCTTGGAAACACCAAATAGAGTTTCTTTTTCCCCTTTTGATGATCAACTCTAGAGGTTTGGAGGAAGAGGCTCTTAGAGTGGAGATATGACTGTCTTTAATAGCCACCCCCCACCCCGCCCCTCTATGCAATTAATCACTAAGTTCTTTTCATTAGGTCTCCCGCCCCTTTTCTTCTTTCCAGTGTAGCATTCTAATTTAGGGCTGTATTTTTCCATGCTTAGGTTATCTTCTTTATTGGTTTTCCTGCCTACCATTTTTGTGTTCTAATCCATCCTGTTCTCTCCTGGCAAATTAATCTAAGGAAACTAAACAATATACCACTGCCTTAATAAAAAGACCCATAAATAATTTTAGTTCATATTGCCCTTAAGACAAGGTCCTCTACAGTGTGGTACCTTTCTACGTTTCTGTGTTGTTCTCCAGCTACTTTTTACGCAAACCAGTTGCTCTTGTAAAGAATAATTGGATTACCCTACCATTTCTTGTCTTTTGTTTCATCTATGTTGTTGCTCATGGTTTTCACTCGTTTGGAACTTCATTTTAATTCTTTCTGTTTACTTTTTTAAACAGTCTGTTTTAAGGAAATTTTAATAATAATCACAAAATTTTATATATTTACTCATGTAGTTACCATTTTTGTTGCTTTTCATTGCTTTGTGTAGATCCAGATTTCCATCTGGAATCATTTTGGTTTTGCCTAAAGGACTTCTTTTAATATTCTTATAATGCAAGTCTGCTGGCAATGAATTCCTTCAGCTTTTGTATGTCTGAAAAATGATTTCACCTTTATTTTAAAAATATCTTCTCTGGGTGTAGAATTCTAGGTTGACAGCTTTTTTTTTTTTCTTTCAATACTCCACTCTTTTCTCAGTTGTTTCCAATGAGAAATCTGTGATCATCCTTATCTGTGTTCTTCTGTATTATAACATGTTTGTTTTTTCTCTGGATGCTTATAAGATTTTCTCTTTATTACTGATTTTGAGCAGTTTGATTGTAGTTTTCTTCACATTTCTTTTGCTCAGGGTTTGTTGAACTTCTTGGATCAGGAAGTTTCTAATTTTCATCAAATTTGGAAAACTTTTGGCTATTATTTATTTAAAAATGTATTCTGTCTTGCCTTCTCTTTCTTCTCTTTGGGGACTCCAATTATATGATTAGTAGACACTTGAAGTTGTCCCACAGATCATTAATGCTCTTTTCATTTTGAAAAATTATCTTTTTTTGTGTTTAATTTTATATAGTTTCTATTGCTATGTCTTCAAGCTTACGAATATTTTTCTCTACAGTATCTAATTTACTGTTAATCCCATCCAGTGTATTTTTCATCTCAGACATTGTAGTTTTCATCTCTGAAAGTTCTGTTTTGATCTTTTGTATATCTTCCATGTCTCTATTCATACTTTTTGAACATCTGGAATGCCGTTAGGATGACTTTTAATGCCTTTGTCTGCAAATTTTAACATCTGTGTTAGTTATGGGTTGGTTTTGATTGGTTTGATTTTCTCCTTATTATGACTAGTATATTCCTGCTTTTTGGCATGCCAGATAATTTTTTTTAGATACCAGATTTTGTGAATTTTATTTTGTTTTGAGGGTTGGATATTTATTTCTATAAATCTTACTGAGCTTTGTTATGGGACATAGTTAAGTTACTTGGAAACTGGTCCTTTTGGGTCTTGCTTTTAAGACTTGTCAGGTGAGACTGGAGCGGTCATAAGTCTGGGGTAAATTATAGGCAAGACCTTCCTGAGTACTCTACCTATTAGACTGTGAATTGGTTTTCAGTCTGGTTAGTGAGAGTAGGCACTATGAGCATGGGCACCATTCCCTCAAATTCTATCAGGTGGTTGTTTCTTGGGCCATTTCCTTTTCTTAAAAAACTATTTAAAAATTTATAGTATTGTGTAATATTTGTGAATATATGTGTCTTCCAGGTGCACTGGATCGTTGTGTGATGGGGATAACAGCAGTGGAGATACTGAATGCTTGTGATGAAGCAGTTCCTGCTGTAGTTGATTCACTTAGTCATCCAGCAGTCAACCTAAAACAAGCTATGACAAGACGTAGTCTTGCTGCTCTTAAAAATATGGCCCATCATAAGTTACAAACCCTTGCAACTAACCTCTTGGCGTCTGAGGCGTCTGACAAAGTAAGTTTCGTATGTGCGCTCATGACGTGTGTAGTCTACATTTTACTTCATCTGATAACATAGCTTTGGCATGTCTTAGAGACTAATGTTTGGGAGATGACACTATTGAAAATTAATCTTCTGATTTTTATTTACGTTTACATAACATTTATAGACTATATCAGGTATTTGATATTTTAAAAAAGTAAATTATTCTTACTGTTTAAAATATTTTAAAATTATTCGTATTGAATTAAATGACTTTGGTTTCTTAAATTAGAGCAAACATGTATAACCTGTTTGTCTGACTTTCTGACAGTCTTCCGGTTAAAAAAAAAGGAAATAATTTAGGTACATTTAAGTTATCTGTAATTGTGATTTATCCTTTGTTTTTAAATTAGATTATGAATTTAGTAAGATTGAGCCATTAACTATTTGAGAATAGGATGATGGGTTTCACTTGTGCTGGCACTTTTCTGTGAGACCCAAGCTCAGTCACACTTTCTGAACCACACTTGGAGTCAGGCATAAATTACTTTTTCAGTTAACAGAAGATTTGTTGTTGTTAGTTGCCATCAAGTTGATTCTGACTCATGGTGACCCCACATGTGCAGAGTAGAACTGCATCATAGGGTTTTCAAGGCTGTGACCTTTCGGAAGCAGATCGCCAGGTCTGTCTTCTGAGGCACCACTGGTAGGTTTGAACTGCCAAACTTTTGGCTAGTAGTCAAGTACTTAACTGTTTGCCCCACCCAGGGACTTCTTGTAACAGAAGATTATAACAGAAGAATATCCTACTCAAAGAAGGGCAAATAAAATCCCAATTCATTAATTGGTTACCTGTCTTCAGTTTTGTAGAGGCTAGTGCTGGGATTTGGTATAGACTTGATGGCAACTAACAATATCAACAAAATCGCTGTTTGGTTTGTGGTATTTTGTGTTCTGTGATATGTATATATATTTTTATTGTACTTTAGATGAAGTTTTACAGAACATATAGTTTCTCATTAAACAGTCAATACACATATTGTTTTATGACATTGGTTAACAACCCCATGACACGTCAACACTCTCCCTTCTCAACCTTGGAGGACCTTTATTTTGGTGAAAATATACATAGCCAAAGTTACACATTTCAAAAGTTTCTACATGTACAATTCAGTGACATCGGTTACATTCTTCCAGTTGTGCTGCTATTCTCACTATCCTTTTCCAAATTATTCCATCACCATTATCTTCAACTCACTG